AAAGACTAGGCGAATTCATGTCCCACCCATTATTCTCACGGTAGCTGAACAACCGCAGCGCCAGAGTACTCTCTGGTTAGTTTTAAAAAAACTGTTTGCCGTTAACTAGGTGATCCACTAAAACATGTGCACAGACGATATAGCCCACCTGGAACATGAGTGTGCTTATATTGTGTGCACGTGAATGCTCACATGCAAGGCAAGCGCTGCTACACGTAGGCTTCTGAAAGCAGTGAGTGCAGGAAACTACCTCAAACACCCACATCATTTTCGCCCCACACGCGATTGAGTGCGTTGCCTGAACTTTGGCGTATCGTGTTTGCAGCCAAATACGCAGTGCTTTTTTTTGTGAGCCTATCAACGGGAGCAAGCGCTACGAACGGAACACTTGAGATCGTGAAAGCTGCGAACAGCGATGGCACACAAATCTATGCCAGATAACGTAGTTTGAGGGCTTCAATGAAGTTGCCTGGACATCGCTACGCCATTTCGGTGGCCAATTAAGCTGCGATATGGTGCACCTATAAACAGGCGCATAAGCTACTCATCATTGCCCCTTTGAAAGGGGAAATCCCGTGACCTGCTGACCCGCAGGTCGCGGGATCAAATCCCGGCTGCGGCGGCTACATTTCCGATGGAGCCGGAAATGTTGTAGGCCCGTGTGCTCAGATTTGGGTGCGCGTTAAAGAACCCCAGGTGGTCAAAATTTCCGGAGCCCTCCACCATGGCGTCTCTCATAATGATAGCGTGATTTTGGGACGTTAAAACCACATATCAATCAATTGATAAGGAAAGCATGACAGTACAGACACACGTCGATTGCGATGATGCTGGCACGTGAATACAGAATTCCTCAGCACAAAACGTAACACATAAGCACTGGTTATTCTCTATATTAATATATCTTATTGTGTTTTGTCTGCTATATTCCCATGTGATCTTTTATTGACAAGTTCTAATTACACGCAAAAGACGCATGTTGTGTTGATCGATTCTGTCAGCATCGACGATCATTTTTTCTGCGTCGAGTCTTCTGGCTGGCCGCACTGTGTTTCGTCTGCTTGAACAGTGGTGTATCTATATATGCACGCAAGGGCGTTTCCGGCGCAGGAAGCGGCCGTCGGCGGGGAGGCCGCGCCCCTTAAACTGGGCCCCGCGGTCGGCGACGGCACGCTTCCTGTGTTTCCTCAACCCGAGCTCTCGCAACACACAGCCCGTCATTGCTGTCTTCCTCCGCATGCCTCTATACTGTATCTGGCATTCATGCAGGGCTGTAATGTCAAGAACAGTCCCCACTTTTCCTATAAAGGCGCAATCCATCGGCGGACCTACGGCGAATTATGAGAAAGCTTCTACCGCAAGGCATTCACACCTACTAATATATTTGCCGTTCTCAAGGTACGTAGTATATTTATGATGTTACCAATTCATTAGCGCCCTGCATACCTTACCAAGTAGATTCACTTTTCGGGAATACGAAATGCTCAACCCAATATGTTGAATTTGCTCAATATGCCTTTTTAAAGCCTAAGATTGCAGGTATCTTACTACATTAAGTAGGACTTTTTTTAATGCAAGACATGAAACTTTCCAAAAACAAGCACACATCTAATGCTCTATATTTTAAAAGTTAATTTGCAGTATCACACTTGGTATATTGAAGAAGGAAACGGAAACAGTTGTGCCTCAGAAGTAACAGAATAATCGCTGCAGAGCGCAAGTCAGCTAAAGTGCATAGTTTTACTTTAAATAATAGTCAAGTTGGTGTAAATGTTTAGTACTATTAGCCTTTGTGGGTGCCCATGTAAGACGTTTGTTGTCGATTGCCTCAGAGAATAAACCAGGTATTTTCTAGAAAAAAATGTTATTTTGACGGTTGTCTTAGGCTAACAAGGTAGCATCAGATGTCGCTGTGGATATATGATAGCCCGCATGTGTTGCCATTGTGATTTCTGACAATAATGGGAAAACTTTGAGGAGGAGTGCCATGACGACGGCATATACGAATGAAAGCACTCTGGCAGCGATGCGAGCATCTTTTCGTAAAAGGCAAGTACAGCACTATACCTGATATGGCAATAAAACGACGTATTCGGACCTCTATGTAGTATGAACAGGTGGTCATCCACTCGAAATAAAAACGTACCCTCTCCACGAAATGGATTGTACTCCCTTCCAAAATCATACTAAGTGTAAATAAAAAATTCTCATTCGTTGGAAAATGTGTTCGAGACCCCTAATTACACAGGTGATCAACATTGCTGCACTCAACGCATGGGGAATCTGCTAAACTATTGGATGTCAGCAGACCCGCCTTGCGTTGACTTCTTCCATTCGCTAGCCTAATAGCGTAACGCTATGTATACCGGCGCTTTTTTCAGCCCGACAGAAAAAAAATGGTTGCCAACACCCATTGCGCCTGATATTATCATCTATCTGCACAAGAAACTTGAGATACAGTTCAGGTGTACTGTCTGTCATAAAAAATGGAGCTGCGAAAACTGTGGCTATCATCTTTTCAAGAAGAGTTGGTGCTTCGGCAAGTTTGCTATGCCGAAATAATTTTGATAAACCTTGTCTGGACCTATGGAATGACGTGACAATATGTTAGACGGCAAAGAATATTCTCGCTCTAGAAAATTGGGTGTTTGGCTCGCTTAAGCTTCATCTGAGAATCTTTAACATGCAGTCATTTGATCCAGATATCGAAATTTAAGGTGAATGAAGTATATATATGTAGCCTAGCACTACAGAACAGTAGAGATAGCTTTTGAATTTATAACTTCATGGTGAGGGGGGCAACTAATGTCTCGTGAACTGAACTGCAGCTGCCAAACAAAGCCGTATTTAAAAAATAAAGGCTCCAAATCCAAACATCGCTATTGCTTGAGTGTTGTTTTTTTGTTCGGCGTCTTATTTTTCGTGAGCTCTGTTCGGACGGAGGTATACATGCAGCTCCAAGGCATACATACATTCTGTCTTGTGATGAAACGTAACTGACTTACCTGACAGTAAATCATCATTGGTAATATTTTGTGAGCTTGTTAAGGTAAGAGTTTCTTTCGTTCAAATATTTGCCAACTTACGTTACCCTGTGACAACCTGTCCAGGTCAGTAAGATAGAATATGGTCGCCGCCACTCACAAAGACTGTAAAGAAATGGCGTAATTAAGCGCATTGCTATGAAAGCTTGTTGTGTATAGATATCGAGCCGTATATGATCTCATATTCTGAGATAATAGCGCCACTTTGAATGTCGCAAACGCTCTCGTGGGCATAAGTGAGGGATAGTATGAGTGTATATTTGCGGGAGTCAGTTTCCCTAATTATATAAAATATGACAAATAACCAACTAGCCCAACAATAGGTTTCATCAAATATGATTTGAAGTTCTGTCCCGAACGTTTCGACAAAAAAGGTGTTTCTTGAAGGATACCATGTAAATACGACCATTATCAATACGGTGCTCAAGAAGCCAGAAACTATGTTCATGCCGCTCCCCTTGACCTGACTTTCACCCTTCACTTGACAGAGTTGAGCACTGCGCCACTTCTCGGCTGAAAATGACGCTGCGCTGCTTCAGAATCGCCCCAAATTATCACTGATATGCAGTGACTTGCTGTCCCTAAGGAGGGCGCTTCCATCGGCTTTCTCAAGTACAGGCGAAGCGTTAAGTGAAGGGACGTTCTAGAATGCGGGAGTGGGAGTATTGTCCAAAAACACCACTTGTGTTTATTATAACAGTCAAATAATAAAAGGAAAGTTATTTGCTTGTTTTAGTGTGTTAACCTAGCAAAGCGCCCATTCACCTTGTGCATCAGCACAACATATGAAAACTTTTTGTAGCACTCAGTGCATGTATTTTATTCATACTGAAATTCATGTTTACTGTCTTGGTGCATAGAAACGCCATTACAGCAAAATATGGGCTTAGCGATGTTGGAAGGATGACCTTTCTGAGCTAACCGCACTTCGATGTCATGTTCAGATGACATATATTGGTTCTGGTGGTGTAGGACGAATTCGAATGGCTGTTGGTGCGCGAAATGTTTAGTGTTTTTTTATACAACAGCAGAGGTGTGATTCTTGCGTCATGCGCGCCATGGCGTACCTCTTGAAGTGAAATTAATTACGATTTATGATTGATTGATATATACAGTTTAACGTCCCAAAATCACAAAATGATTATGAGAGACATCGTAGTGGAGGGCTCCGGAAATTTCGACCAGCTGGAGTTCTTTACTTGCACCTAAAACTGAGCACATAGGCCTACAACATTTCCGCCTCCGTCGGAACTGCAGCCGCCGCAGCCGGAATTCTATCCCGCGACCTGCGGGTCAGCAGCCGAGTACCTTAGCCACTAGACCACCGCGGTGAGGCGGAAATTATTTACGACATCGACCTTGCTGCCGTGCTGTCTCATGCATTTTTCTGAATTTTTTTTTCTGTACTTGAAAGGATTAGAAATTTATCGACTGTCCTATACCCAGTTAACCGAACATTTCAATATGCGTGCAATCAGCATTCGATAGTTATTGAAAGGGTGTTGCTGTCTAGCTCCACACATTCCTCAGCAACATCTGGTGCATTTGTTATTGTGTACTCTATAGAGCTGCAATCACTGCATGCAATTTTACATGTCTTGCAGAGATTTAGAGCTATTGTGTGAATAAGTACAAGGGAAGAATGAATGCGAGAAGACTTTCCGTAACGTAGGCTTATACTAAAGAGAACAGAAACAACGTAAACCCTCTGAATGGCATCCGAGTAAAAATACTTCTTTCTGGGCACAGGTCTCTATATCGACATCGCATGGTGCATATTTTTATCACTATACTATATCAACAGCATATTTCAGTTTTACTATAAATGCTCAGTGTTTCGCTAACAAACTCCTTTCAGGCAATTTCTACAAAACGTCAAATTCAGCGTACATACATTAGGAAGCACATGATTCTTGCTCTTTGTCATTGTACTGATTACTGCAAAACAAATTTCAGGCTTCTTCACCACATACATTCTCTAAATCGCACAACAGAATCACGCTGGCCATCAGACGAAGAGCAACGCCATTGCGATGAGAGACGCAGCGATATCTTTACTAGTGGGCCTTTTCCTGTTTACCATGTCATGCCCCGCCGATGCCCTTCCGTCTACATGTCGTCCTGAGTACCAGAAGCTGTCGGGTGGCCTGGTTCACACAGCCTGCAAACCACCCAACAACAACTGCATCTTCGTTTCAACTGGACTCAACATGGCTGAAAAGGCTGACGTTCTAAAGGCGCACAATGACTTTCGATCCCGGGTTGCTCAAGGGCAACTTTCTGGTTTCCCCGGTGCCACAAACATGTACCGCATGGTAGGCCCTACGAGCATTAATTATTATATGCATGATATATTGACCCGTATACTCATGTATTTACTTATTAATTAATTTAAGTCACCCTGCTCCACGGAGCATAGGTTGAAGTGGTTCATGACAAAGCTCATAAAAAAATGTGCCCATACGTACCGAGAAATTCACGCCAGAATAATATACAGAGGTAAAATGTTCAAGCATACATATATCACGCTTCAGAATATAGCACTATAATTTTACAGCTCTACTATAACTATCTTCGTTCAATTTCGCCTTGATAAGCGAAGCATGGGGAAATAAAGGTTTTTTTCCAAAAAGAATATTTATTACTGTAATAGACAGCGTCATTACACATGGCATGTGCAACAAATAAAGTTTCATGACACAGTAATCCAAACAGCAATCATATACAAACCACATATATATAATTGCTTCACCAGCCATCACGGCTAGAAAATATGAGATGAAACTTTGCACTAATTGTGTCTCTTGTAGGTGGATAAATGTTCAGCACAGAAGCAAAATTTATTGTTAAGTTTGCTTGTAAGTTCCGGTTATCATAATATTTACATCTTATTGATAGTTTACATGAACAGTGGCGCCGCTCAGAACATAATCTGCACTCGTTATCGTAAGTGTCCACAAACTCGCATAAGGGTGAGTTGCCAAATCACATTTTGTGAAGCACACTACCTTGTAGAGGTGAATAAAAGAGGCAATTGAATCAAATATTATTCAGCTTTAAAGATTATTTGTATTAATTTCACTTCCTTCTGTGACGTGCTGGATTGTAGTTGACCGTAGGGTCTCAATCGTTACCTTTTACTTTGAGTGAATGCACTTTACTGAATACGTTTTCACACATTTTTCTTCCTTTAAATGCAGTAATCCGTCAGTTGGTTTGACACATGAGGCAACGGACGCCACCACTTAGTGCTGAATTCCCCAGTTTATTACTGCAGTGCACAGTGGAAGTTCTCCCAGTATATATATACAGTTTGTTGGTGCTCAGCTTTCAAGTCACAACGTAGTTTATTTCTTTCGACGTTTCAGCCAGACTGTGACCTTCATCAGAAATGAGGGTACAATTTGTTGGTGCTCAGCTTTATGCAATCTTAAAAGAGAGAGGTTACGCAAAAAAAAAGGAAAACAAAAACAAAAAAGCTATGTGAACAGGCACCATTCTCGTCGGGACTATCGCAACTTTAAAGAGGATGATCCTAAAAAAGAATTCATTTTATTTTAACTAAGGGTATTTTAGACTACTTGGCGGGACTGCTATGGGCACCAAAATGGCACCCATTTATGCCAACGTAATATGCGAAAGCTAGAATCCGTATTTCTTGCACAAAGTTTTTTGAAACCACTCTTCTTCAGAATATACGTAGACGACATCTTTCTTATTTACACCCACAGCAAGGATGAACTTCTGAGCTTTATTGACACTTACAACGCTGTAAATCTAAATATACATTTCACACACACCTACTCGCAAGCAACCGTACATTCTCTTGATGTTACCATAACGATAAAAGAATAAAACCTTTCTACAAACTTATATCCCAAACCAACGGATCGACAACAATACTTTCATTACCAAAGCGATCACCCGTGCCAGTGTAAAAACAGTATTTTATACAGCCAGGCTCTCCGGTTTAAACGAATCGGCTCAAGAGACGCTGATTTTGACACGAGCTCACAGGGAATAAAACTTATGCTTGATGAACTAAAATACCCCAAATATTTTATTGGTGACGCTGTTAAGAAACCTAAAAAACTGAAGCGTGATGACTTACGTATGAAGCGACCACCGCAGGAAGACCCGCAACAAACAAACCTCTGCTTAAAGGCCGACTCCGGTGATTTTTTAAGATCAATGGATCTCAATGAAATTCACTGGGTACGTTCCTTTGCACATTTCCGTCATTTGGGCCAAATTACAGGATTTAGAGATGCGTTGATTGTTTGCAAATGAATTTTGAAGATTGCCTCGAAAAGCTCACCTCGCTTGCCAGAATTAATAGCAACACTGTCTGTGTGATGTCATGTTTTGCATGTCAACTGAAGGGACGGAGCCAATCGCATCACTACTTCGGCCACTACAGCGTTTATTGTGCTGTCCGCAAAGCGACAGCGTCGGT